AAATACTCACTTCAATCAATGTTTTGTCTTTGTACAACGTGTGATTATTCTTTACGAATAATCAACTTATCGTTTGGGACGCATTCCAGTAAAAGAAATCAGTTATTATTTGGCTGTCTCGAAGTTTATAATTTCTTCAGTTAACAGAATAGTTATAATAATGGAATTACAATTAAATGAAAAATACAAGTACTTGCCTAACTTATTGCTGAGCTTATTTATCAATTTTCCTTTAACTAATGAGGAATCAGAGAACGTCACAGGACGGTTTTTTTCGTCCTGCCCTGCATTTTTGCAGGACATTATCAAACCATGTCCTGCTTTTCAGGACGGATTGCAGGACATAAAAACCTTCGTCCTGGCAGGACACACTTGCAGGACAAAAAGTCGTCCTGCGTCCTGCCTGCAGGACGAATTTTTGTCCTGCAAGCTTCAAAAAGGTAAAATATTATCTAAATATGAGATATGATGTCAAGCATCCTACAAGTACTCTTTATAGAAGTCATTTATAATGATCCTGTTAATTAATCTAATCACATGCTTTCTGGTAGACATGAAATGAAATGAACAAAAAGTACTAGATATTCGTAAGAATAAAAGAAATCAGAAGATAATCACGATGACAAAGGATTTATAATCTTATTGATACTGAAGATGAGATACAACATCAAAGATGAAAGTATTGTTTACATGAAGAAACATAATATAATTTTATTAGAAAATCTCAAGACAAGTTTTTCAACAGAAATGAAAGGAACAGGGAATAATACTGAGATCCATAAGATCAACAAATCAATAGCAGAAGAAACACTAAGATACAAAGTTCGCACTGCAATGAAAATTCACAGATAAATATAAGCTTCTTTTTTACTTCTTGTTTTTGAATTTCTCGTACGAACGAATAAATAATATATTATCAATTTGACTTGGTGATAAACGTGTTCGTCTTTGAGTAACTCTTAATCCAGCGGAACTAAATAACTTTTCCACTGATGCACTAATTGCTGGTATAGTATGTATTTTTCTTGCTACTATTAACAAAAGCAGGAATTACGTCTAAGAAGTGTTGATTATATTACATTTTTCATGTTATAACTGTTCATCGCTCTACAATTAATAACTAATCACTTTATAGAAATCGCTATGAATCTCAAAATCTTTGTACAACTGATTTATTTCTGTTCTTTGCTTTCAATGCTATCCTGCAGGACTAATAAATCATCCTGCAGGTCCTTCATATAAAAAAGGTTGTCCTGCTCCTGCACTGCCCTGCGAATTGCAGGACTAAATTCCAAAAATGCAGGGCAGGACCTGCGTCCTGCAGGCAGGGCGATGCAGGACCTGCAGGACGCAGGTCCTGTGACGTTCTCTGTGAGGAATGCAAAAGTCTTGCGAAGTATGCTGAGATCCATCTCTTAACAATAGAAAACTTGATTGACTTCGATAGTTTTTTCTTTGAAAAGTAAAAATCTCACGTGACACTGATTGTCGATTTTAATATGCCCTAGAAAATATTTAAATTTTTCTGAGTTCTGATCTCTTCAGTGATATTTATCCACAGTAATCTCAATGAAAAAAAAAAGAATTAAGTATCATTAAGCAATTGCATTTCCGCATGCTCCTGGTGATTGTTCTCCTTTTTTGATAAGAAAAAATCTGTAAAAAAAATGAACTCTAATTTCTTTTTAAAAATACATCACTAGATTGCTCATATCGAT